ACTGACGCCGTCACGATTGTCGGCATGCGCGCCAATGCGCGGTGAGAGACGTGTGCAATGCGGCGGGACGACACGAGGTCAGGTGCACAGACGCTACTGTGGGGCAATGCGGCGATAGAGGAGGCGAGACGAGGGAGAGCCAGACGAGACAGGCGCGAGGCCACGACGTTGGAAGAGATCAGCGCCATGTCGACGATGGACGCAGATGATAGAATCTTGTTGGGAGAAGGGCAATATCAACATTTTACAAGGACAGTACACTTAGCAAGAGAAGCAAGCGTTCATGCCGGAGTGGTTAACGGGACAGACTCGAAATCTGTTGAGCTCTGCCCGCGCAGGTTCGAATCCTGCTGAACGCGGTCGCAAAAGAACCTGCGTCTTTTGGTTCTGGTGCTTGCGTTGAAGAGTAGTATATGTAGGTATGGTCATACGCGGATGACATCTATGGCGGTGTTCGCGAGCGCAACTAAGGGCGTGTGCACTAGGGGTTCGAACTTCTGTCTAAGTTCGAACTTTTAGCGAGGTTCTACTCGGTACTAAAATTTTGAGAGTCGTGTCGCCAAGGTTCAAAGCGGTTAATGTTCGAACTTTGACAAATTTCGCCAAAGGACACACGCCCTAAGGTACGTTCCTGCCTCGTGTCAAACGTCCGGTCTTCCGGGGATGACACGAAGCTGGCCCCAACTTCGGGTCTTCCTGCTAAGTTTCGCCTCTGTTTTCGGAAGACTCGAAGTTTGACAGGAAGTTTGACCTAAACCTTCGGGTCTTCCCAGGAAGACCGGAAGTTTGACACGAGCCAGGAACGTACCCTAACAGCAAAATCGACGGGATCAGGAAGGTCAGTCACGCCTTCCTGATTCCGTCAATTAGGGTTCGTTAAGAGGTCTGTCAGCATGGTCAGCCCGTAAAACTCCTGCCGAACCTAGGATGTCGTCCGACCCAAATGGAATCTTGAGGGACTGGTGAACGCCCTCAATTTTCCCCCATTTCGGACGGCTTCATGGCATTCGGAAGGAAGCAATCTCGTTCCCGGGCAAACATCCCGCCTCATGCCATCCCATCGTAATTCACCATTTCACGGTGAATTGCCTTGGGATGGCGATGTGATTGGGGATCAGAGGGTAACCACAACCAGTAGGGGAAGGTAGGGATGGGGGTTCCTGATCCCGTTGCCACATTTCCCATTTCAGGCGCGAAAATTTGCGAAGTGGCATTCGGCCCAAACCTATTCGGCGGGTTCCGACCCCGGTTCATGATTCCACCGCCTATATACTGGGCCACGTATGCGGAATTCTATGTGAAGAATAAAACGAGGAATGGATGACAAGTTCGCTGACATCGCGAACTGGGACATGTCAGCCCTTCGCGACAGTCGACAACCATCGCTGACACGACGATTACCGCCAAATCTATGCCAGCTGTTCTCGCTGGCTTTACTGACCCCGCTTCTCCACCTGTCGCGTAACCCGGATTCGGAAGCTGGTTGGCGCCTGCTACTCTTTTTACCCCGCCTGACACTTCGCCAAACGTCGCCAAAACGCCCGGACTGGCCCCAAATCAAGGCCCGGCTCCGAGCCTTCCAACGTGGCGAATGGAGCCAGCTGTACCTGGACTCAGTAAACGCAGTCAACACGCCCCCCGCGCCCCGACATCAGCCCGACCCGACCGGGGTCATCAGCCGAGCCGAGGGGCTGGCGAAACGTGGCAGCCTGCGACGGGCGGTGCTGGCCCTCGAGTCAACACCTGTCTGTACACCCAGCCCGGAAATTTTGGACGAACTCCACAAAAAGCATCCGTCAGCGGGGGCCGAGACGCTGACCTGGCACGCAGTTCGCGAGTCGGATTTGACCATCGCACACGCAGATTTCGCCAAACTGCTGGGGAGATGCGAAAACGGCGTGGGTGCTGGACCGTCTGGCATGACTTTCGAACATCTGCGAGATGCGGCGGTAACCAACGCGCGGGTCAGCACTCATCTGCATGCCCTGGTAAACACATTGTTGGGGGGAAACCTGCCGAGCCCGGTGGCAGACCTGCTGACTTCTTCGCGTCTCGTCGCTTTGGCCAAGCCTGGTGGAGGGGTTCGGCCAATCGCCATCGGGGAATGTCTGACCCGATTGACTGCTAAAGCTGCACTGGCGGTCATGGGCGATGCTGCCCGCGAGCATTTCTTACCACTACAGTTCGGTGTAGCAGTGCCAGGTGGAGCCGAGGCGGTGATCCACGCGGCAAGGGCTTTTCTGGACGCACACCCCAACAGCCTGGTGCTGCAAGCCGACATCGCAAACGCCTTTAACAGTATTTCGCGACAGTCCATCGCGAACGCGTTACAGGAGCCCAGCCTTTCGCCGCTGCAACCCTTTGTGAAGCTGACTTACGGTAACCCGTCGCAGTTACACCTGGACGTCAGTTTTGGGAGCGAACCCCTGACAAGCGAACGGGGTGTCCGACAAGGGGATCCTTTAGGCCCATTATTATTTGCAGCGGGGATCCACACGACACTCCGCGAAACAGCCGAGGCCCACACGGACGTGCTGTGTTTGGCGTATGCAGACGACGTGACTTTTGTGGGCGATCAACGTGCTACTGTAGCTGCGTTCAATTTCTTCACAACCAAGTTACAGCAGCTGGGTCTGACGCATAACCCACAGAAATGCGCGGCATGGAGCAAGGCTGAGGCGGACGAAACACAATTACCCCCGGGAGTGCCGTTCAAAGCCGATGGGGTCCGCCTGCTCGGCAGTTACATCGGGCCGACCAACGGAGCAGCGAAATTTCTAGCGGGCCAGCTGGAAGAAATGGCGAAACCCTTACCTCTCATCGAGCGGGCCGACCCCCAAGTAGCCTCGTTACTGATCAGTCGCTGCATCTCAAGGCGTGTCGCCTACCTCACCAGGACGACCCCCATCCACCTCCTCCCTCGAGACACCTGGGCCCAGTGGGGTCGTGACCTTCTGACCGCGTTACTCACCTCATGCGACATCCGTTTTCCATCGAGTAGGGTCGAGCAAGCAAGAGTCTGGGCACAGGCATCACTGCCTTCATCGCTAGGAGGGGTAGGCATCACAGACCCCACTATCGAGGGAGTTTACGGATTCGTAGCTAGTTTCACCCAGGCGGCAATACTTCTCTCCACCCTCGATCTAGACCCAGGGAACGCTCTCGCGCTAGCACATCAACACATGCTCTTGCCCCGGGATGACAGCACACCGCTTCACAGCTGGCTCGTAGAGTGTGAGACGGCGCTGCCAGGCGACGCGCGAGAGCTGCTAGAGAAAGAGAGACTAGGGCGATCAGACATACGCCTTCAACACGCGCTGGCTCTACAGGTTCATGGCAGTCGCTATGCGGTACAGGTTCAGGCGACTAGGAAAATGGAGTTGAATCCGCTCCCAGGACATACACAACGGATGTTTTCACTCACGGGATATGGCACGGGTGATTGGCTCACGGCGATACCCATAGCAGCAACTAGACGGATTGGGCCGGTGCATTTTGCTAATGCCGTCCGTTTCCGCCTAGGTCTCCCTTTCTCGACTCCCAAAAACTGTGATTGTGCGGACCACACGGCCATCACCGACCCTCGCCTTCCTAACCACCTGTTTCGCTGCGGCATGGGGAAGCAGCGCATCAACACTCATAACGAGCTCAGAGACGCATGCATCAGCATGGCACAAGACGCGGGATTTATCGTTCACAGAGAGTCAGCTACATACTGCCCCATTGAGGAACAGACAACCGATTTTACTATGACAGACAGAAGCAGCGGGGCGGTCTGGGTGTGTGATGTCACGATCACAGACCCAATCAGCACGAGGGACCCGGAGGCTCAGAAAGGAAGAGGATGGGCGGCAAGGGAGCAGGCCGACAAGAAAATCAAGCACTACTCAAACAGACCAGAGACGGTCGGTTTCTTTCCCCTGGCCGTAGAGACCTACGGCTGCCCGTGTGCAGAGGTTCCCGTCTTCCTGAAGCTACTTGCAGACACGGCGGCTCGGCGCCACTTCAACGCCGATTCCAAATCCTATTATGCCGCCAAATTTCTGCACCAGTTTCGGCAGCGGTGGTCAGTGGCTCTACAGAGAGCCCAATCAGTTGGTCTACTGATCAATTTGGGTGAGGTAGCGGCAGCAGAGAACCCGCCAGTGGGTGGGATTGGGGACGAGTTGCACCTAGGAGACTGCTTTGCAGTTATTGAGCCCCTTGTGGAGCTGTAGTTTGAAGATTGTTAGCTTCTTCTGGTTGTGTGTTACCTAGATTCTGAGTTAATGCCTTGCATGCTTGTACTTTCCTTCTATATCAATACATGGACCATTAGAGAGAGACCCCTGGGCCCCACGGCTAGGGGACCTCTGGCAGATGGCTGAGGATGAGTATGAGGAGCGGGAGGCTCCTGCCCGAGCGGCTTAGAGGGGCAGGAGGGAAAAAGAGAGGGCGGCGGAAGGAAGATGAGAGGAAGTTGCAGGGAGGAGGATAGGGGGCAGGGGGACTATGGTATGGTAGGAGGGAGCCACAGGACGGGAGGAGAGGGAGGTATTCGGGGTCGGGTGTTGCTGCTGGCCAGCATGTTTCAGTGCTAGGAGACTAGGGTGTACACACACGGCATGGCTGCTCCGCTTGCACTGCTTCCTTTGCTTTGCTCTGCTCGCTTGTTTGCATATTGGCTTGCATGTTTTGTTGGTTTGTTAGCTCTTGGTACCTGGTTGCCTACATGCTTAGACAGACTAGCTACAACCACCTCCTGCCATGTCTGTACCTCATGACCACTATCAATACATGACTACTTGAGAGAGAGAGAGAGAGAGAGAGAGAGAGAGAGAGAGAGAGAGAGAGAGAGAGAGAGAGAGAGAGAACAAGAGAGTGAGAACGAGAGAGCGATGAGGTGGCAAGGGTAGCGTGCGGCTGGGTGGATGGCCCTACAAGTGGATAGGGGGCTTGGGTGCTTGCCTAGGACTAAGGCCATGAGTCTAAGGCCATGCATGCTTGCTTGCTTAGGATGGATGGTTGCTCATATCGTAGGGTTGCTTGTTTGCTCGCCAGCTGCTGCTGCTGCTGCTGCTGCTGGTGTTTCTGCTCCTGCCAATACTGCTCCGGATGTTGCAGGTGCCATTGGAACTACCAATGCTGCTGCTGGCCGTGCTGATGCCACAACAACCAGGGAAGCAACCGCAGCCCCCTCGCAATCGCACGCGGCCGCACAACAACACACACAGCAGCTGCTGCAGCGGTTCTCCACGTCCTTCCCAGGCCTTCTGTCGGAGGTGCCTCGCAGTGTGCCCGGGGTCCCTCGAATCTTCCTTGAGGCACTGCGGAGGCGCAATGAGCTCGTGGTGGGGGCGTGTGAGGCCATAGGGAGGCGGCAGTCACAGGCCAGCGTTGCCACGCACCCTCCAGCAGGCGGAAACTGCATGCCTGCAGAGGCTACAGCAGCCATGGGCCCTCTAGAGCAGGGCAAGGCAGCAGACGGCGAGGCAGAAGGGGAGGATTCAGAATCAGAGGGTTTTTTCGGGTCCGTGCCGAGAACCGTTCGGCAGGAGAACAGACTCGCTGCCGCTGCTGCCAAGGCCTTGAGGGCCCGTGCACGGCCAGCTGCCCAGGTGCCTCCACAGCAGAGGGACCCCCGCAGAGCAGCCCCAGGGGGTGATGAAGAGGAGCAGACTGGGCAGGTGGCTGTGGGCGGTGGCGCTGCAGGCGGTGGTGTTGTGGGCGGTGGTGCTGGCGGGCCTGGGAGGTCTGGGTTGCGACGGCGCGAGAAGAGGAAAGTTGTCGAGGATGAGTGTGGGCCGCGGGGTGAGCGCGTGGGGAGAAGGGTGGTAGGAGCGAGTGAGGGAGAGAGAAAGAGAGGGAGAGAGGGGCAAGTTGCTCAAGATGTGTGTGACGCTGTGGAAGGTGGTAGAGAGGGGGGAGGGTAGGGTACCCCCAGTGGTACCACCTCCTGCAGCACCAGAGTCCACAGTGACAGGCTGCAGCGGCGGTGAAGACGGTCGAGGCGGAAACTCAGGAGGGACAGCCAAGCGTGCAGAGCGGCAAGGGGTCAATGTGGCAGCAGGAGTCGAGTCACCCCCCTCAGCTGGGCCAGGGTGTCTGAGGAGACCTCCAAAGGCTCAACCAAGGGGGGTGGGTCTACCTGAGACACACCTGAGGGAGTGGGACCGTGAGGAGGGAGGGGGGCTACCGGGGACCTACGCGGCCAAGAAGAAGTACAGGGAGGGGCGCCTGACGACAACTGCTGCCCGCCTCAACGCACACTTCAGGCAGCGGTGGTCAGTGTCGCTCCAGCGTAGCCAGGCCGTCTCCCTTCTCTCCAAGTCAAACCGAGCCGATGAGGCAGCCTTCCCACAGACGGCTGCAGACCCCTGGGCGCCACGGCTCGGGGACCTCTGGCAGACGCTTGAGGACGAGTATGAGGACAGGAGGTCCCCGGCTGTGGCGGCCTGAGAGGGTAGGGAGCTGTCGGCACTTCAGGGGGTGGTCAAGGAGGGGTTCTGAGAGGTGGACAGCACAGGGAGGTAGCGGTGGTCGTCCAAGTGAGGCTCTCGGCTACAGGGGCAAGTCAGGGGAGAAGTTAGAGCCAGAGCAGGAGGAGGAGGATGTCAGGGTTGATAAGGCTTGGGGCTTCCTGTGGGTATTTGGTTTGAGATGGTGGTTGTTCTGTCTGCTGCCACGGTGTTTGCTTGCTTGCTAGCTTAGCTACCGGCTACTTACATGCTTACCTAGACCAACTCGTTTTCACCTCTATGCCATGCCTGTACCTTGTGAACCCTATCAATACATGACTGCTTGAGAGAGAGAGAGAGAGAGAGAGAGAGAGAGAGAGAGAGAGAGAGAGAGAGAGAGAGAGAGAGAGAGAGAGAGAGAGAGAGAGAGAGAGAGAGAGACCCAGACCGCTTGGCCTCTCTTCTTCATTGTCGACTACCAGCAAAAAGTAGCGCTCGCCACCCTGTCCAGTGACGCGGGCAGGGCCCCACACGTCCATGTGCAGGGTCTGCAAAGGAGCAGTGGTAGGAGGAAACGAGGAGGAGTGACCACCCCTCGACGCAGGGAAGGCAGGGCGTTGCAAGCGACCTCGGGAGCGGGGACAGGGACCTGGGAAGACCAGACACAAGGAGACGGGAGTGCATGCCACGCAGGCGTGGCAAGGAGGGGTGGCCAAGACGTTGGTGCCAGAGGAGAGTCTGGTGCGTGAGGAGACGACACGAACAAGACGAGGCAACCTCAACCGACGCAGCTACCTGACCTGACTCAGCTACCAGTGCAGACTTAGTGGACAGTGTGTACAGGCCAGACCCAGGCCTCCGAGTGAACGTGGCGAGGTGCTCTCCAGTGCGCGAGTCCGTACAGATCGCCACTAGCTCGGCTCCAGGCTGGGTGACAGTGACCCACTGGTCCTGGAGGACAGAGGTAGCCACCAAGTTCTTAGCGAATGAGGGGAGGTGGAGACCTGTGAGGAGGCCGGAAGGGGCCGCCGGACAAGGGAGAACAGTGGCGCCACGCGCGACTACCGGGCCCCCAGAGGGGTCGGCTAGTGTGACAGGGACAGGGACTGTGAGCGGTGTGACTGTGGTGCTGTCGCGGAAGAAGCAACGAGACGCGCCTGAGTCGAGAGTAAAAGTGTGCAAGGCCTCCTCAGGCTCTGCACCTGTGCTAGCCGAGTCAAAAGCACCAAGACTAGCAGCCTCTACGCCACCAGGTGCCTCTCCACCCCCAGCACTAGTACCCCAAGCTCCGCCACCGGGGCTGCCCCACCGGACAGCCCACTCACGAAGCTGCTGCGGGGAGAGAGTCTCTGGCGGACGCTGCTGCCGCTGCTGTCCACCCCCAGAACCTCCGCGTCTACCAGCGGCACTACCAGGAAGAGTAGACTCTCAGGGACCTCCAGTAGTAGCACACCAGGCTCCGCCACCGGGGCTGCCCCACCGGACAGAGACTCCTGCACACTCGGCTGCCGCTGACGTAGGACAGTGGTAGTGGCCATGGCAGGCAGTGGCAGCTAGTAGCAGCAGCTGCGTAGCAGTAGTAGCACACGGGTGGCAGCAGCACCTAGGGCGGCAGCAGCAGGCGGTAGCACCTAGGGCAGTAGCAGGGAGTAGCTCCTAGGGCAGCAGCACCTAGGGTTTTTTGGGTTGCGAAGCAACCGTTTATGATCGATTTTGAGAAATTTTATTTTCATATTTATTTTTACTAAAACATGAAAATAAAATTCGTAAGCTACAATATTACCCTTCCCATTGGTGAGCTCATTCTGCTCACATCGCCTCGGTGGCAGCTGCACACTCCCTTCTGCAGCAACTGGACCTGCCCTCAGACTGCCTGCTACACAGGGCCATCACGCTGCTGGCCCATGACTGGACCCCCCCCCCCCAGATTTCAACCCACTGACAGCCTTGGAGGAGGGCCTCCCAGCCCAAGCACAGGCAGTTCTCAGTCAGTACAGGGCGGACAGGGCGGGCACAGGCAGTCTGCAGCTGGGCCTATCAAAGCAGATCAATCTGCAGCGGGCGGCAGATCTACTGGGCGACACTGTAGTGGACAGACCAGGCAGGCACGGGGGACACGGGATCCGGCTGATAAGTCTGAAAGGGGTGGCGGCGGGCGACTGGCTTCATGCAGTACCAACAAGAGCTGACCTTACCATCTCCCCTGGTCAGTTCTCCTTGGCCCTAGGCCTCCGCCTAGGCATGGAACTGCCAGTAGCTGAGGTGTGCCCATGCAAGCGACAGGGATCGAAAATTCTGGATAAGAGCCTGCCAAACCAACTGCTACGCTGCCAGGATGGGGGGGATGCGGTACGGACGCACAATGCCCTTGTGTACGCTGCGCTACGCATGGCGAATGAGGCGGGCTACAAGACCTACCATGAGACCTCGGCTTTCTCGCCACCTGTCCTTAGGAAGAGGGCGGACCTAGTAATCCAGGATCAGGAATCGGGAGAGACCTGGGTGACGGATGTCACTGTCATGGATCCGGTACTGCAGGAGAGGGACGTGAGAGCACGCAGGCCGCCAGGTTTGGCGGCAGAGGAGGCTTCACAGAAGAAGCATCGGCTGTACGAGGGGCGCCCGAGCTATGCCGGTTTCTTTGGGCTGGCGGTTGAGACTTATGGGGCAATGGCTGCGGACAATTCCTTCGGATGTTGGCAACCCATGCAGCCAAGAAGAGGTTTAGGCAGGGCAGACTCACCACCACGGCTGCTCGGCTCACGGCACATTACCGCCAGAGATGGTCGGTGATGCTGCAGCGCAGCCAAGCAATCTTCCTCCTGTCCAAGTCCAACCGAGCAGCAGAGGCGGCTTTCCCACAGGCGGCTGCAGACCCATGGGCCCCACGCCTGGCAGACCTCTGGCAGATGACGTCTGATGAGTATGAGAAGCGGGACGCTCCTGCTAGGGCACCTTAGACGGCCGTGGGGAGAGAAAGGGGGCGGCAAGGAGTAGGAGGGAGGGAGTGAGAACACAGGGGGCAGCCACAGGGCAAGGGGAGGCCGGGGTTGATTGGGTCTGGGTTTGGGGTTCTCCTGTGGGTTTTGGTTTTGGTTGGGTGTGCTGGTTGTTCTGCCTGCTCTCGTTTGGCTTGCTAGCATAGCTACCGTTTTGCTTGCATGCCTTGCTTCGGCCAGTTAGTCAATACCGCTATGCCATGCCTGTACCTTATGAACCCTATCAATACATGACTGCTTGAGAGAGAGAGAGCGAGAGAGAGAGAGAGAGAGAGAGAGAGAGAGAGAGAGAGAGAGAGAGAGAGAGAGAGAGAGAGAGAGAGAGAGAGAGATGGCTTGGGGTTAGTCCTTAGCCGTTTTTCAGCCTCTTAGTCCTAGTCCTTAGTCCTTAGCCGTTTTCCTGCCTAGTTCCCTAGTATAAAGTCCTTAGATGCACCCTTTTGAGCTCATTCTTCATTGGTGAGTTCAGTTCACCCTCCAAAATCGGCCGCTCGTTCGAGAGAGAGCGAGAGAGAGAGAGAGAGAGAGAGAGAGAGAGAGAGAGAGAGAGAGAGAGAGAGAGAGAGAGAGAGAGAGAGAGAGAGAGATGGCTTGGGGTTAGTCCTTAGCCGTTTTTCAGCCTCTTAGTCCTAGTCCTTAGTCCTTAGCCGTTTTCCTGCCTAGTTCCCTAGTATAAAGTCCTTAGATGCACCCTTTTGAGCTCATTCTTCATTGGTGAGTTCAGTTCACCCTCCAAAATTGGCGGCTCGCGCCGGCCGCCTTCGGCGGAGCTGGTCCAGGACATACGACAGCAGAGTCAGGCACGTCCCCACGTGCATTACGCGCTGCTCGACGTGGAGAGGCGTCGCAGCAACACGAGCAGCAGCAGCACGAGGGGCGGGCGGGACGGGAGGGAACAGTAGCACTTGGGGAGTTGGCGGCTGATGCAGCTGAGGCTGGGGCAGCGGAAACTGGTTTGTCGGCGGCTGCTGTTGCTGCTGAGCCCGGGGCAGCGGCGCTGCTGGAGGAGACCGACGTGGCCGCTGCGGCTGAGGTGACGGGGACGGCGCGGGAGGGGGCACAAACGGCTGGGACGGCGGGGGGAGCGTCTGTTGCCGAGACTGCTGCCGCCTCTGACGGCGGCTTAATTTCGCCCGCTGAGGTACGCCCGACTGCGCCGCCGCTACATGTGGGCGGGGGTCGGGCCGCGGAGGAGAGTCAGATGGTACCGGAGCCGGCTGCATCCCCGTCACCGCTCGGGTCGGCTGAGGTTGCTGCGGTCGTGGCGGAGGCAGCGAGGCGACAGCAATTACCCCCGAACGAAGAGACGGCGCCGCCTGCCGCTGAGTCCGCCGGAACACCTGTTGCTGCCGTGGCCGCAAACAGGCAGGGGCACGGCCGGGCGGGGAGCGGTAGACCGGGTCCCGGGACTGGCGCCGCTGCTTGCGCCGCTCGCGGGAAGAAGCTCCGCGCCCAGCCAGCACCGAGGCGGCCCGGAGCAGGGCTGGGACCTGGCGTCCCAGGACCCCTCCTGGGCTGGTTGCTGCAAGGGCAGTCGCCACAAGTGCCAGCGCATCCGTCGCCATCTCACGTCGGAGCGTCTGTGGCGAATTCCGCCGCGCAGACAACGACGCAGGCTGCGCCAACGCAGGCGCCGGGAATTCAGGTCGGCAGTAACAATGGGGAGCCGGCGGTGACAGGTACAACAGCAGCAGCAGCAGGCACGAACGTAGCGGCGGCGGCTGTAGGGACCAGGCGGTCGGCACGGTTGGGAGCGATAACCTGGGGACCACCACGGGATGGCCGTACGCCGTGGATGCCGGCGGGCCGCGGTGGCAACGGAGTGGCGGAAACGGCGGGCGCGGCTGGGCGGGGACAACGAGGGGTTTTGCGCGGGGGGATGAGAGGCGGACGGGGAGGGCGCAACCAACCACCCAGATCGGAAATCCCCGCGAGGACTGGTCCCTGGCGGGAGCGTCACGCCAGGCCTGAAAGAGTGATCCTGCAGACGAATGAGGGACAAGAAGCTTCTGACAACCCCGGGGCCGACCCAGAGTTTATGGCTGGGGAGGAGGAGACCTCTGAAGAAATCTCGTTGGAAGACGAGGAGGCACCCAGGAGGAGGAACAACCCTGAACCTCAAACCGGGGCGGCGGGGGGGGGTATTCCTAGCAACCCAGCGGTAGGAGGAGCACCTGCCACGGAGGAGACGGACGTGCCTTCGCCGGCCGACCTGGCCGGCGACGACGCCATCTGGCACATGGCGGGGGAGTGGAATGTAGACGTGCTTCAGCGAGGGGACCAGCCATTCCTCGTCCGCCGGCTGCCACCACACCTCCTGGACAGATACTGTCTGTGCATGCTGGCAGCACTCATTCGCCTGGATAAAAATCCCAGCTGCCCAGGTGGTTGGATGGTGCTGCTGTTCCTTCCGAGGCTCACCCTCAGGCCTGCGCCCGAACCTGTCTTGGGGAGTCGCTGGGCAGCGATTGAAGCTAGGCTGCACAAATTCCAACGAGGCGAATGGTCCGAGCTCTTCGAGGAAGCAGGAGTCATCCCCGACACAGGAGCCCCGGTACGGCACCAGCCTGACGAGGAAGGGGTTTGTGCACGAGCGGAGGGGTTAGTGAAAAAAGGAAACATTTCGAAAGCGGTAGCGGCTCTGCGAACGTCCCCCCTAGCAGAAGCAACCCCGGCTACACTTGAAGCTCTGCAAGCGAAACACCCTGCAGCGGGTAGCCAGATACCAGCGTGGGTTACCGGAATCACAGAGTCAGAACTGGCGGTTTCGCTGGACTCGCTTCGCGAAATCCTGGCGAAGTGCCCGAATGGTGTTGGGGCGGGACCCTCTGGTACTTGTTTTGAACACCTCCGAGACCCCGCCCTAGCTAACGAAGAGCTGCTGCTGTTTTTCGCCAAGATGGTAAATCGGCTGCTCAGCACTTTCCAGGCCTCCCACGTAAGGAAATTGCTACTGCCTTCCCGTCTGATCGCTCTAGAGAAGCCGAATGGGGGAGTGCGGCCTATAGCAATAGGCGAAACCCTGCTATGCATAGTGGCGAAGGCGGCGCTGCATACCCTTGGGCCCAAGATTAGGGATTTTTTCTTACCAGTTCAGTTTGGCGTGGCAGTTCCAGGAGGTGCGGAGTGCATCATCCATACCGTCTGCTCTCTACTCCGTGAGGACAAGACCCGCATTGCCCTCCAGCTAGACATCGAAAACGCTTTTAACAGTGTCGAGCGACGGGCTTTCCTAGGCTCGCTGCAGTGGTCCAACCTGAGCTCGCTACTTCCCCTTGTCCGAAACCTGTACGACGGTCCATTGCCATTACTCGTAGATGCTCGACTGGGAGTAGACCAAATCCAGAGCTCACGTGGCGTCAGACAGGGAGATCCCTTGGGCCCTCTCTTGTTTGCGGCAGCGATCCAGCCAGCCCTCATGAGCGTCTCGGCGACAACACCGGAAGTGGCAGTGGTAGCCTACGCGGACGACATCACCATTATCGGCCAGCGGGAAGCAGCGTGCCGTGCCTTCACCAAGATAGCGGATGACTTGGCAGAATATGGACTACGCTGCAACATTTCAAAGTCATCGGCGTGGGGAGCTGCGCACGACGGAGAGAACGAGGAGCTACCACTAGGCTTAGTTGCAGACCCGGGCGGGATACGGGTCCTTGGCAATCCTATCGGCAGCAACGACTTCTGCACCACCCAAGTCCGGGCGGCACTGGAGGAAGCTGCCTCGCCCCTTCCCCTTGTCTCTCAGCTCAACCCGCAACATGCCATGCTTATAGTATCCCGCAGCATCTCTCGCCGCATCTCATACATGCTGAGGACTACGCCGGCGACGACCCTGGGCGCAAAGGAGTGGAGGGACTGGAGTGAGGCATTGGTTGGCTCGGCGCTCACAGTTGCAAAGCTTTGCATCCCCAACTCGGAGTTGGAGCAGAGCCTACTGTGGCGACAGGCTACCCTCCCGATTCGGCTGGGTGGTTTAGGAATCATTGACCCTGTCTCGGAGGCCCCGGCTGCCTACATTGCTTCTGTCACGGCAGCGCACACCCTTCTCCAGCACCTGAATCTTCCCCCGGACTGCCTGCTACACAGAGCAACGGCCCTGCTCTCCCACGATTGGAGCCCACCACTGCCGGACAGCAGCACACTGTCGAGCTTAGAGGAGGGGCTGCCAGCTCAGGCACAGGTGGCGCTGGGAGCCTACAGGACGGGGAACAAGGGCACAGGCAGCCTGCAGCTGTGCCTCTCCAAAATCATCAACCAGCAGCGCGCGGTCGAGCTCCTGGGGGACACGGTGGTGGACAGGCCTGGCACCAACAGGGGTCACGCGCTGAGACTGATAAGCCTGAGAGGGACTGGCGCGGGCGACTGGCTACACGCGGTACCAACGAGAGCTGACCTCTCTATTTCCCCTGGTCAGTTCTCGTTGGCCCTGGGCCTACGCTTGGGCATGGAGTTGCCAGTAACTGAGGTGTGCCCGTGCAAACGTGACAACTCAGCGATTGGGGACAAGAGTCTGCCGAACCACCTGCTGCGCTGCCAGGACGGGGGCGATGCAGTCAGAACCCACAACGCCCTAGTCTACGCGGCGCTGCGGATGGCTAATGAAGCGGGCTACAAAACGTTTCATGAGACCTCAGCATTCTCACCGCCAGTCCTCAGGAAACGAGCAGACCTAGCGATACGGGACCAGGAGTCAGGGGAAACATGGGTGACGGATGTCACCGTGACGGACCCAGTATTACAGAACAGAGACAGCAGGGCCCGCAGTGTTATAGTCACAATAGCCTTGAATGTGCCTAAAACGAAAGATAGAGTGCACAGACGGATTTCTGCACAGCGGCTTCAAACGTTGATAGCGTTCTGCTCACAGCTGCAAATGACTTGATTCAAATTGGATCTGGAGCGTCTTGACGTCGCCTACAATAAGCAATTTAGATTGCACGATTTCATAAAGAATTGACGACACAGCGTTGGTTTGAACGAACGGTACTATGGCAGCCACTATAGTCTTAGAACACAAGATAGGAAGAGTTACGAGTTGGGAATGACTCCCAGCTCCTACAAACCCCAAGAGCCGAGGTACAGTGATGTGGAACAGTGCCACACTGTCCCCAACCACGAAGGGTCTCGAAACTACCCTCCACAAGGGCCTACACCAAGAGAAATGTTACACTACACAAAGTAATGCAACTATTCTCACTATCTTAAAGTTTACCCTTTTGGAGAGCTTCGAAATAACTTGAATCTTGAAACCAAGGCTCTGGTTCTTCAAGGTAAATTCTTCCTTGAGTTCTTGGAAGTCTGCTGCGCACACCTGCGACACGCCGAACGTTCCACACACGACAAAATAGAAAACCGCACACGACACGCAAACGACGACGTGACACGCGACTAGCGATAACTCGCTATTGACTCGACGCACACATTCAAAATCATGCTTCATCATACACACACTATTGTAAACATGAAATATATATTATTTCATGCCCTCATACCATTCCATGCACACACGCATGCACGCACACGGACAACAAGCCGAATGCAAACCGTAGGGTTGCACCAACAAACTCCCCCTCGGATTGTTGGCCTTAGGATCTTGCTCTCTCAGTTCAGAGCCATCCCAGCCAGCTTGCAACACTTCCAATGCTGCTGCTCCACCAGCCTCTTGGTCATCATGTCAGCTGGCTGCCTTGTCGTCTTCACATAGTGCAACTCAACTTCACCCTCGGCCACCATGCTCCTCGTCCAATGCCACTTCACCCTCATGTGCTTGGTGAGGCCATGCAACACAGGGTTCTTAGCAAGAGCAATGGCACCCTGGCTGTCACAGTAGAGTGGGGTAGGTCCTTGCTGCTCCTCCCCCAATTCAGCCAACAAACGCCGCTGCCACACAATCTCTCGTACGGCACGGAAGAGTGCCATATACTCGGACTCCACCGAGCTCAATGCTTGATCCACCTGCTTCTTGCTCTCCCAAGCAGTTGGGCCTCCACCAACACAGCAAATGAACCCTCCAACACTTGTCATGTCCTCTGGTTCTGATGCAAAAGAAGCATCCGAGAATGCGGTGAGGAACAAACGCCCGGGTTCAACACCATCCGCGCCCTTTTGGCGCCTTTGCGCCGCCGCCGAATATTGCAGCCCAACGGTCGGTGTTTGGCCAAGATACTTGGCCACTCTCATTCCAGCTGCTACCTGCTCCTCATTAGGGCATTGAACAACCCTAGCCAACTGTCCGGTAGCAAACGCGACGTCCGGTCGGGTGTTTACCGCCGCGTACATGAGGCTGCCCACCAACGAGTGAAAACGGCGCCTCTTCTCTTCACCAACGCTCTCCTCCTCTGGTCCCTTCACACACTTGAAACCAGAGGGAAAGGGTGTAGCCACATGGCCTTCACTCTGCCCAAAGTTGGCAGCCAATGCCTCCAGGTACTTCCGTTGATGCACCCGCATGCACCGCTTCTCCACATCACGTTCAATGTGAAGCCCAAGGTAGAAGTTGACGTCACCAAGGGCCTTACACTTAAACTTGTCCTGAAGCTTCAGCATCACCTCCTTCACAAGGTCAGATGAGGGTGAAAAGATGAGGATGTCATCCACGTACACCACCATGAAGCTCCTCTGCTCCCCCTCGCCAAGCATGAACAATGAGTGATCGGCCGTTGAGGGAGTGAAGCCGATCTCCTCCAAAACTCCTCGCAGCTTCAAGTACCACTGCCTAGGGGCCTGCTTCAGTCCATAAAGGGCCTTCTTCAGCCTCAAAACTCTGCCACTACCATCATCAAACCCCTCTGGCTGCGCCATGAAAATCTCTTCCTCAAGGACGCCATTGAGGAATGCCGTTGTGACATCCATTTGTTTCACCACCCATCCTTTGATGGCAGCTCCCGCGAGTAGGGTTCGCAGCGTCGTCGGCTTCACCACAGGAGCAAACAACTCCTTATAGTCCACCTTCTCCTTCTGCTGGTACCCCTTCGCCACAAGCCTAGACTTGTAGCGCTCGATCTTGCCGTCGGCGTCGGACTTGATCTTGAAGAGCCACTTGGACGTAATCGCCTTACGCCCCTCCGGTAGCTCCACCAATTCCCATGTGCCGTTCTCCTCAATGCTCTTCAGCTCACTCTCCATTGCCTTCTTCCACTCCTCAGCATCACTACTCTCCAAGGCCTCCTTGAGAGTTGCTGGTTCCCCCGGCATCTCCACCGGAGAGAAGAACGCGAAGGCACACTCCTCATAGTCACTCTCCTCGTCTTCTCCAACTATAAGTGCCACTCCGGCCAAGGCTGACTTGGCTGGCTTTCCCAGTGCCTCATAGGTCAGGCTATTTGGGGCTTGGATTCTCCTTTTGCCCCTTCCTTCTTCCTCAGCTGCAGGGACATGAAGGCCTTGGCGTTGCTGCGGGGTGACTCGGATCCGTGGAGCACTCGTAGTGCGAGAAGGAAGTGTCGGTGCACGCTCGCTCACTTGCTGAACCTCCTCCTCTTCTTCCTCTGCATCCTTGGCCTCCTCTCCCCCATTCACAAGGGAAGATTGCCTTGTGGTGGTGCTGCCGCTGCTCAGCTCCAAGGGCAGCTCCACATGCTCCAAACCGGAACTCTTCACGTCCCCCAACCGCACGCCTATCTTCGCCTCATTCTCCGCCTTCCAATCCTTGTACATCAGATTCTCCATGAATTTGCAGTCCCTGCTCACCAAGAATTTCTTGGTGAATGGGTCCCAAAGAAGCCACCCCTTGCTGTTTTGAGCCATGCCCAAGTGCACAGCCCATATCGCCTTGGCACCGAGCTTGTTGTGCCGAAGATGCTTAGGCACGAGCGCCATGCACATGCACCCGAACACCCGAAGCATATCCACCTTTGGCTTCCTTCCAATCCACTCCACATAGGGCACCCATTTGTCTGCTCCCACATGAGTCAAAGCTCTGTTCTTGGCCACACATGCACTCCGCACCGCATCAGGCCAGAAACATTCGGGTAGCCCGGCTTCAATGAGCAACCCGCGCGCCGTCTCCGTGATTGTCCGGTTCGCTCGCTCGGCGATGCCGTTCATTGCAGGGGAGTATGGCATGGTAAGGGAGTGCCTTATGCCATTCTTCTTCAGCCACAATCCAAACTCCTTGCTCAAGAACTCTCCCCCTCGATCGGTGCGGATTGCCTTCACTAGCCGGTCTTGTTGCCGCTCCACCATCGGCAACCAATCGGTCTTCACCGTTTCAGCCACGTCACTCTTCTTGGACAGCACGTACACCCAAGTCATGCGAGTGTAGACGTCCACAATGGTGAGAAAGTACTCAGCTCCAGCAGCTCCAAGCTTCAGGGGGCCCACCACGTCCATCACCACCTCATCAAGTGGTGCCTTAGCCGTTGCCTCCGAACTAGAGAACGGGAAACGGGTGAACTTGGCTTGCATGCACGTCGGGCAGCCAAGTACCTCATCGGGCTCCCCCTTCACACGTATGCCAGCAACCATCTCATTCTTCACTAGCTGCTGCAAGATGGGCAGGGCCACATGCCCCATTCGCCGATGCAAGGTGAGCCAATCACACTCCCCCGTAGCCGAAGTCGGATTGGAGAATGCCGCACTCGCAATAGTGCCCCACATGTTCTCTCCGTACTCCTCCTCCGCTGCTGCCTTGGGGTTCTCCTCACCCTTGTGCTGCTTCTGAGCTGCTGCACCACTCTCCTCATGTACACCGAGCTTGCTGGTCCCTCCAAGATTGCACTTCTTGGACTTTATCTCCTTAGCGCGACCGTTCGCGCCATCGCCGCTACCAACCGCTTCACCCTTGGTGCTGATGCTTGCTGCCACTTGCCTCTCCTTAGGCATGGGGACCACAGGGATTTGCCACATCTCGTTGTAGACATCCCTATCCTCGTGAAGGTCCCAAAGAATCCGCTCGCCAAGCCTCGCGGCTCCCTTCGAGCTCGTGTCCATGCCGGCCTTTTGCAACCGCCGCACGGAAATCAGGTTGGCAGCAAGGTTGGGCACCCAAAGCACGTTCTTGAGGCCCACCATCTTCCCATCAGCACCCTTGAACATGGCCTTGCCCATGCCTTTCACCTTTGCTCGCTGCCCCAAAGCCGATGTCACATGCTTCACCGGTGACGGCTCAAGTTCGGTGAGCAAGTCCGCACGAGGTGTCATGTTATAGGTAGCGCCGCTATCGATCACCCAATAGTCCAGGGAGTGTAGGGTGACCTTCCCCACAGCTGCTGGCTCCTCAAAGCTTTCATCATTCTCTGGACCAGCCGGTGCTTGCGTGGACACGAAGAAGAATTGACCCGGGAAGCGATCGTCCCTCGACTCGCTCTCGTTGCCGGCACTCTTCATACTTGCAGCACCACCTCCGCGACCGCCACGGCCTCCACGGCCTCTTCCTCTCCCTCCTCCTGCTCCTCTACCCTCTTGGCCTTGAGCAGGAGTCCATCCATCAGGGAGTTTGTAGCAATCACGCCACATGTGTCCGCTCTTGTGGCAAAAATGACACTCGCCGTCGAACCGTCCGCGACCGCGTCCGTTGTTCTTGTTGTCATTGCCGTATCCGCTACTCCCGCGGCCTCCGTTGAAGTTGCTGCCTCCAAACCTTCCTCCTCCTCGTCCTCTGCCCTTTCCACGGCCATATCCACGGCCGATGCTTGCTGCCCCGGCGCCATCCGCACTCGCCAACTCACGGCGACGGAAATCCTCTTGAAGGATCGCTCGCTTCACGTCTTCGAGCGAGAGGTGGGGCAAGTCACGATTGAGGTTGATGATGAGAGAGGACCATGACTCTGGGAGTAAGGCCAGCAACTTGGTCTTCTTTTGGAGCTCACTGTAGTTCAAATCAGCTCCCTCAAGCCGCGTCAACAAGTCGAAGAATTTCTGCACCCCTTCTTCAACCGCTTCGTCTTCTTCAATTCGTAGTGCCGCCATTTGCCGTTCCAACACCACCGCTACCGCCGCTGTTGCAGGAGCATGTACACCCTTGAGAGCAGCCCATGCCTTTGGTCCCTTCTCTGGTTCACGCTGGAATGGTTTGATGTGACGGATCTGGCTGCTCCCCAACGCTTGCCCAAGTAGGAGATAGCCTTGTGCGCTCTTCCGCACCCACGGGCTCTTCTCCGGGTCGTTCTCGGGGCGCTTCTCCGTTCCTTCCATCACCTCCAGCAGGTCATAGTGGTCAAAGATGTTCTCCATCTTGAAGGACCATTCAGCAAAGTTGTCACCGTTGAACTTGTCAAGCCCAAACACCCTAGGCTCATCCCTAGGTGGGCCAAGACTTGGTTGCATGGGCGCCATGGCTGAATCACGGGGTTGGCCTTGAGCTTGGGCTTCTCCACTGCCACCAGCAACTCTGCCACCCCTTTCCTCAGGTCCATCCATTGTCGAAACTGCTCCAAGGGCCTCTGATACCACTTGTTATAGTCACAATAGCCTTGAATGTGCCTAAAACGAAAGATAGAGTGCACAGACGGATTTCTGCACAGCGGCTTCAAACGTTGATAGCGTTCTGCTCACAGCTGCAAATGACTTGATTCAAATTGGATCTGGAGCGTCTTGACGTCGCCTACAATAAGCAATTTAGATTGCACGATTTGATAAAGAATTGACGAAACAGCGTCGGTTTGAACGAACGGTACTATGGCAGCCACTATAGTCTTAGAACACAAGATAGGAAGAGTTACGAGTTGGGAATGACTCCCAGCTCCTACAAACCCCAAGAGCCGAGGTACAGTGATGTGGAATAGTGCCACACTGTCCCCAACCACGAAGGGTCTCGAAACTACCCTCCACAAGGGCCTACACCAAGAGAAATGTTACACTACACAAAGTAATGCAACTATTCTCACTATCTAAAAGTTTACCCTTTTGGAGAGCTTCGAAATAACTTGAATCTTGAAACCAAGGCTCTGGTTCTTCAAGGTAAATTCTTCCTTGAGTTCTTGGAAGTCTGCTGCGCACACCTGCGACACGCCGAACGTTCCACACACGACAAAATAGAAAACCGCACACGACACGCAAACGACGACGTGACACGCGACTAGCGATAACTCGCTATTGACTCGACGCACACATTCAAAATCATGCTTCATCATACACACACTATTGTAAACATGAAATATATATTATTTCATGCCCTCATACCATTCCATGCACACACGCATGCACGCACACGGACAACAAGCCGAATGCAAACCGTAGGGTTGCACCAACACGCAGGCCGCCTGGGTGGGCCGCCGAGGAAGCCTCACAGAGGAAGCATCGGCTCAATGAAGGGCGCCCCACCTATGCCGGATTCTTTGGGCTGGCTGTCGAGACCTACGGGGCCATGGCGGCGGACACAGTCCAGTTCCTTCGCATGCTTGCTACCCACGCAGCGAGGACGAAGTTCAGACAGGGGCGCCTCACAACAACTGCCGCTCGGCTCAATGCACACTACCGACAGAGGTGGTCGGTGATGCTGCAGCGCAGCCAAGCCATCTCACTCCTCTCCAAGACCAACCGAGCAGCTGAAGCGGCATTCCCACAGGCTGCGAGAGAACCCTGGGCCCCACGGCTAGGGGACCTCTGGCAGATGGCTGAGGATGAGTATGAGGAGCGGGAGGCTCCTGCCCGAGCAGCTTAGAGGGGCAGGAGGGAAAAAGAGAGGGCGGCGGAAGGAAGATGAGAGGAAGTTGCAGGGAGGAGGATAGGGGGCAGGGGGACTATGGTATGGTAGGAGGGAGCCACAGGACGGGAGGAGAGGGAGGTATTCGGGGTCGGGTGTTGCTGCTGGCCAGCATGTTTCAGTGCTAGGAGACTAGGGTGTACACACACGGCATGGCTGCTCGGCTTGCACTGCTTGCTTTGCTTTGCTCTGCTCGCTTGTTTGCATATTGGCTTGCATGTTTTGTTGGTTTGTTAGCTCTTGGTACCTGGTTGCCTACATGCTTAGACAGACTAGCTACAACCACCTCCTGCCATGTCTGTACCTCATGACCACTATCAATACATGACTACTTGAGAGAGAGAGAGAGAGAGAGAGAGAGAGAGAGAGAGAGAGAGAGAGAGAGAGAGAGAGAGAGAGAGAGAGAGAGAAAGAGAGAGAGAACGAGAGAGAGAGAGAACTAGAGAGAGAGAACGAGAGAGAGAGAGAACGAACGAGAGAGGGAGAGAACGAGAGAGGGGGAACGAGAGAGAGAGAACGAGAGAGAGAGAGAGAGAGAGAGAGAGAGAGAGAGAGAGAGAGAGAGAGAGAGAGAGACGGTGCAGCTGGCCGAGTGTCGCCTCGGGAACACGGGTCTGCGGGGGCTGAAGAGCCAACGCCAGGAATGAATGCGGCTCATCCGCACCGAGATACAGGGAGTTCTGCGCGCCCGCCGCTCCTCCGCCAGCGGCCACGAATTCCACACCAGCCACTGGCGGAACAGGCGGCAGGCGAAGACGGGACCCAGGAACAGCGGCCGAGGCAGCAGGAGCGGGAGCCGATGGGGCAAGGACAGGCGGAGGAGGTGCAGCCGCTGGCGGAAATTCCACGGGGGGGACAGCCTGACGAGGAGCCACCTACGCTGGCGCGTCCCGTAGCGAACTGCTCTGGCTCTGCGCCTCCCTCTCCACGCGCACTGCCCTCGACACCTCTCGCTGCAGATCCGCCATTGTCACTGGCGGGCGGTACGCCCCGCCACCGCCACGCCCGCGGGGACCCCTCCAGCCCGCATGACCACCGGGATGAGCAGGCCAGTGAGACTGCTGGTGGTAGCGCCGAGGAGAATCACGTCGGCGCCGCGACGACTCGCGCTCCTGGTGGAGCGCAGGAGAATGGGGCCGAGACGGGCGGCGATCAGGAGAGGAGGGGCGTGACGGCTGACCCGCCGGTGGCGCAAGCAACGAAGCCGGGCCGCCAGTGGTGGCGGACGCCGCCTGCGGTGACAAAGCAACGGCCGGCGCCGACACGGCGGGGACAGCAGCGAGTGGTGCAACATGTGCGGTAGGGACCGGAACAGGAGGATCCACAACAGCCGCATCAGGGAGCGGCGCCGGCGACACTGCAGGCGGAGCCAGGGGTTCGGCAGCAGCAGCCGGAGCGGGCGGCACAGAGACAGGCGCAGATTGGGCAGGTGAGCCCGCGTCAGCAGGAGCCACGGGTGCGAGGGGAGGAGGCATTTCAGCGGTTGCTGTCCCGGGCTTCTGAGCCGGCGGCAGCGGGGGCTTCGTCGCCGTGGTCGCCTTTTCGGCCACCATCTGGGAACTGGCGGGCGCAGCCGACGAAGCGATAGCGCGCTCTAGCGACGGCTCAATCCACCCGGCAACCACCATCCCGAAACGAAGGGGCTAGTAGGCAGGCTGGTAGCGGTGCAGGCGGAGGACCGGAGAACGGATATCAGGTGGCAGGGCGGCAGGCTTTAATCGCTCTAGAAGCAGCTACTGAAGACGAAGAAGTAGCAGACCCTTCTTATAGGGAGGAGGTGATCCCCACGAGTGAAGACGAGGATTCCGAGGACGAACATGGAGCAAGGCAGACGGGAGGGAGAACAGGGTCAGGGACAGGGGAGTTGGTCTCGCAACAGCCAGAAGCAGGGCAGGGACCGTCCGATACCAATCGGACGGACGAAATTCCAACCGTCCCACAGAACGCGAGACCGAGTCGCGCTCGTCGAATTGGAACTGCAAATATGGGGAATGCGCCACCGCATGCACCCCCCAGAGCGCGCTATTTTTCACCAGAGGAGCTGGCGAAGCTGGATGACAAGTTCGCTGACATCGCGAACTGGGACATGTCAGCCCTTCGCGACAGTCGACAACCATCGCTGACACGACGATTACCGCCAAATCTATGCCAGCTGTTCTCGCTGGCTTTACTGACCCCGCTTCTCCACCTGTCGCGTAACCCGGATTCGGAAGTTGGTTGGCGCCTGCTACTCTTTTTACCCCGCCTGACACTTCGCCAAACGTCGCCAAAACGCCCGGACTGGCCCCAAATCAAGGCCCGGCTCCGAGCCTTCCAACGTGGCGAATGGAGCCAGCTGTACCTGGATGCAGTAAACGCAGTCAACACGCCCCCCGCGCCCCGACATCAGCCCGACCCGACCGGGGTCATCAGCCGAGCCGAGGGGCTGGCGAAACGTGGCAGCCTGCGACGGGCGGTGCTGGCCCTCGAGTCAACACCTGTCTGTACACCCAGCCCGGAAATTTTGGACGAACTCCACAAAAAGCATCCGTCAGCGGGGGCCGAGACGCTGACCTGGCACGCAGTTCGCGAGTCGGATTTGACCATCGCACACGCAGATTTCGCCAAACTGCTGGGGAGATGCGAAAACGGCGTGGGTGCTGGACCGTCTGGCATGACTTTCGAACATCTGCGAGATGCGGCGGTAACCAACGCGCGGGTCAGCACTCATCTGCATGCCCTGGTAAACACATTGTTGGGGGGAAACCTGCCGGGCCCGGTGGCAGACCTGCTGACTTCTTCGCGTCTCGTCGCTTTGGCCAAGCCTGGTGGAGGGGTTCGGCCAATCGCCATCGGGGAATGTCTGACCCGATTGACTGCTAAAGCTGCACTGGCGGTCATGGGCGATGCTGCCCGCGAGCATTTCTTACCACTACAGTTCGGTGTAGCAGTGCCAGGTGGAGCCGAGGCGGTGATCCACTCGGCAAGGGCTTTTCTGGACGCACACCTCAACAGCCTGGTGCTGCAAGCCGACATCGCAAACGCCTTTAACAGTATTTCGCGACAGTCCATCGCGAACGCGTTACAGGAGCCCAGCCTTTCGCCGCTGCAACCCTTTGTGAAGCTGACTTACGGTAACCCGTCGCAGTTACACCTGGACGTCAGTTTTGGGAGCGAACCCCTGACAAGCGAACGGGGTGTCCGACAAGGGGATCCTTTAGGCCCATTATTATTTGCAGCGGGGATCCACACGACACTCCGCGAAACAGCCGAGGCCCACACGGACGTGCTGTGTTTGGCGTATGCAGACGACGTGACTTTTGTGGGCGATCAACGTGCTACTGTAGCTGCGTTCAATTTCTTCACAACCAAGTTACAGCAGCTGGGTCTGACGCATAACCCACAGAAATGCGCGGCATGGAGCAAGGCTGAGGCGGACGAAACACAATTACCCCCGGGAGTGCCGTTCAAAGCCGATGGGGTCCGCCTGCTCGGCAGTTACATCGGGCCGACCAACGGAGCAGCGAAATTTCTAGCGGGCCAGCTGGAAGAAATGGCGAAACCCTTACCTCTCATCGAGCGGGCCGACCCCCAAGTAGCCTCGTTACTGATCAGTCGCTGCATCTCAAGGCGTGTCGCCTACCTCACAAGGACGACCCCCATACACCTCCTCCCTCGAGACACCTGGGCCCAGTGGGGTCGTGACCTTCTGACCGCGTTACTCACCTCATGCGACATCCGTTTTCCATCGAGTAGGGTCGAGCAAGCACGAGTCTGGGCACAGGCATCACTGCCGTCGTCGCTAGGAGGGGTAGGCATCACAGACCCCACTATCGAGGGAGTTTACGGATTCGTAGCTAGTTTCACCCAGGCGGCAATACTTCTCTCCACCCTCGATCTAGACCCAGGGAACGCTCTCGCGCTAGCACGTCAACACATGCTCTTGCCCCGGGATGACAGCACACCGCTTCACAGCTGGCTCGTAGAGTGTGAGACGGCGCTGCCAGGCGACGCGCGAGAGCTGCTAGAGAAAGAGAGACTAGGGCGATCAGACATACGCCTTCAACACGCGCTGGCTCTACAGGTTCATGGCAGTCGCTATGCGGTACAGGTTCAGGCGACTAGGAAAATGGAGTTGAATCCGCTCTCAGGACATACACAACGGATGTTTTCACTCACGGGATATGGCACGGGTGATTGGCTCACGGCGATACCCATAGCAGCAACTAGACGGATTGGGCCGGTGCATTTTGCTAATGCCGTCCGTTTCCGCCTAGGTCTCCCTTTCTCGACTCCCAAAAACTGTGATTGTGCGGACCACACGGCCATCAACGACCCTCGCCTTCCTAACCACCTGTTTCGCTGCGGCACGGGGAAGCAGCGCATCAACACTCATAACGAGCTCAGAGACGCATGCATCAGCATGGCACAAGACGCGGGATTTATCGTTCACAGAGAGTCAGCTACATACTGCCCCATTGAGGAACAGACAACCGATTTTACTATGACAGACAGAAGCAGCGGGGCGGTCTGGGTGTGTGATGTCACGATCACAGACCCAATCAGCACGAGGGACCCGGAGGCTCAGAAAGGAAGAGGATGGGCGGCAAGGGAGCAGGCCGACAAGAAAATCAAGCACTACTCAAACAGACCAGAGACGGTCGGTTTCTTTCCCCTGGCCGTAGAGACCTACGGCTGCCCGTGTGCAGAGGTTCCCGTCTTCCTGAAGCTACTTGCAGACACGGCGGCTCGGCGCCACTTCAACGCCGATTCCAAATCCTATTATGCCGCCAAATTTCTGCACCAGTTTCGGCAGCGGTGGTCAGTGGCTCTACAGAGAGCCCAATCAGTTGGTCTACTGATCAAGTTGGGTGAGGCAGCGGCAGCAGAGAACCCGCCAGTGGGTGGGATTGGGGACGAGTTGCACCTAGGAGACTGCTTTGCAGTTATTGAGCCCCTTGTGGAGCTGTAGTTTGAAGATTGTTAGCTTCTTGTGGTTGTGTGTTACCTAGATTCTGAGTTAATGCCTTGCATGCTTGTACTTTCCTTCTATATCAATACATGGACCATTAGAGAGAGACCCCTGGGCCCCGATGTCGCTGGCGCTACTGACACCGTTACTTCACCTATCGCGAAACCCCGAATCCGAAGCGGGTTGGCGCCTGTTGCTGTTCCTCCCGCGCCTAACACTTCGCTAGACCTCGCCACAACGACCGAACTGGCCGGGGGTCAAAGCCCGGCTCCGAGCCTTTCAGCGCGGCGAATGGGGGCAGCTGTACCAGGACGCGGTCGACGCGGTCAACACACCCCCACCGCCACGACACCAGCCTGACACGACCGGAGTCATCAGCCGAGCCGAGGGCCTAGCAAAACGTGGCAGCCTACGCCGGGCCGTGCTGGCCCTGGAGTCAACACCTGTCTGCACCCCGAGCCCGGAAATATTGGAAGAGCTGCGTCAAAAGCACCCGCCAGCAGTACCCGAAGCAGTGACCTGTCCCGAGCCACCCGAGTCAAAACTGTCCATCACCCATGCTGAATTCGCCAAGATTCTAGGAAGGTGCGAGAACGGGGTGGGGGCCGGACCTTCAGGTACGACATTTGAGCACCTACGCAACGCGGCGATCACCAACGGAATGGTCAGCACCCATCTGCACGCCTTGGTCAATACCATGCTCGGAGGAAATTTGCCAGGCCCTGTCGCAAAAATTCTGACTGCGTCACGGCTCATAGCTCTGGCCAAACCTGGGGGAGGAGCCCGGCCAATCGCGATAGGCGAATGTTTGACAAGGCTGACAGCCAAGGCAGCCCTGATAGCCATGGGAGAAGCTGCCCGCGAACATTTCCTGCCAATTCAGTACGGCGTGGCAGTGCCAGGTGGAGCAGAGGCGGTAATACACGCAGCCAGGGCATTCTTGGATGCCCGTCCCGACAGCCTGGTCCTCCAAGCCGATATTTCGAATGCATTCAACAGCATTTCGCGACATGCCATCGCTACTGCGTTACAGGAGCCCGGACTCTCGCCACTACAGCCATTTGTAAAACTGACGTACGGTAACCCGTCGCAGCTGTTCCTGGACGCCGATTTCAACTGCGAACCGCTGCAAAGTGAACGGGGCGTTCGGCAGGGAGACCCTCTAGGCCCGTTACTGTTCGCAGCGGGAATGCACCCCACGCTCTGTGAGATTGCTGAGGCACACCCCAACGTGCTCTGCTTGGCGTATGCGGACGATGTCACCTTCCTGGGTGACACTTCGTGCACTGTAGCAGCTTTCACAGACTTCACAGCCAAGCTGGCACGTCTGGGCCTGACGCATAATCCGCAGAAATGTGCGGCCTGGAGCTCGATCACAGTCACACAAGCACAACTCCCACCCGGGGTGCCGGTTTCAAAGGACGGAGTACGGCTTCTGGGTAGCTACGTGGGGACGGACGCCGGAGCAGCTAAGTACCTAACCGAACAGCTAGCCGAGATGACAAAGCCGCTGCCACTTATAGAACGAGCTGACCCCCAAGTAGCCGCGCTGCTACTCACGCGATGCATTTCTAGACAAGTAGCCTACCTCATTAGAACGACACCGCTCCACCTACTCCCCCGCGACACCTGGAGCCAGTGGGGTCGGGACCTGCTCACTACCTTACTCACCTCCTGCGACATCCGCATGCCAACGTGCCGCACCGAGCAAGCGCGTGTGTGGGAGCAGGCGTCGCTGCCCACGTCGCTGGGTGGCATCGGCATTACAGACCTGCTCATTGAAGGGATCTACGGTTTCACAGCGAGTTTCACTCAAGCGGCGCTATTCCTGTCCTCCCTGGCGCTAGCACCGGAGAATGCTTTGACGATCGCTCAGAACCACATGCTGCTGCCAAGAGACGACAGCACGCCGATGTATTCATGGCTCAAGGAGTGCGAAGCGGCCCTGCCACTAGACGCGCGCGAGATCCTGGAGAAGGAGCGGCTGGAGCGATAGGATATTAGGCTACAACATGTGCTCGGGCTAAAGGTGCACGGAAGCAGATACGCCGTACAGGTCCGGGCAACCAGGCGCATGTGGCTGAACCCACTCTCAGGCCACACGCAGCGTATGTTTTCGCTGACTGGATATGGCACCAGCGATTGGCTGACCACGATCCCCATTGAACCCACGAGACGGATAGGCCCCGTACACTTCGCCAACGCCGTTCGATTCCGCCTGGCCCTCCCCTTTTCAACCCCTAAGAACTGCGACTGCGCGGACAAGACCGCCATCACTGATCCCCGCCTGCTGAACCATCTCCTCCGCTGCGGCATGGGCAAACACCGCATCAACACCCACAACGAGCTACGGGATGCGTGCATTAGCATGGCGCAGCACGCAGGTTTCATTGTTCACGGCGAGTCGGCCGTCCATTGCCCTATCGAGGAACAAACCGCCGACTTTACCTTGACAGATAGAAGCAGTGGGGCGGTTTATGTCTGTGATGTCACCATCACAGACCCCATAAGCACGAGGGACCCAGAGGCGCAGAAAGGCAGGGGATGGGCGCCACGGGAACAAGCGGATAAGAAGATCCAGCATTACGCCAACCGGCCGGAGACGGTTGGCTTTTTCCCATTAGCAGTCGACACCTATGGCTGCCCATGCGCGGAAGTACCAACCTTCCTGAAGCTACTAGCAGACACAGCGGCTCGGCGCCATTTCAATGCCGACTCTAAATCCTTTTAGGCAGGGTCCGAACCGCTGACCTGGCCAACCGACACCCAGGCGACAGAACTGGCAATTTCCCACGCGGAATTTGTCAAGTTGCTGAGCCGATGCGAGAATGGTGTGGGGGCTGGCCCGTCTGGTACAACCTTCGAACATCTGCGCGATGCGGCCATTACCAATGCATCGGTCAGCACCCAGCTACACGCCTTGGTTAACACTGTGCTGGGCGGCAAATTACCAGAGCCAATAGCAGAGCTACTCACGGGGTCACGCCTCATCGCCTTAGCCAAACCAGGAGGAGGGGCACGTCCTATAGCTATTGGTGAGTGCCTGACTAGACTCGCAGCAAAGATCGCTCTGACAGCCATGGGAGAAGCAGCACACAGTTACTTCCTCCCATTGCAGTATGGCGTGGCGATACCGGGTGGCGCAGAGGCAATAATCCACACGGCGCGAGCTTTCGTTGACGAACGGCCAAACTGCCTAGTATTACAGACAGACATTTCCAATGCTTTCAACAGCATTTCTAGGCAGGCAATAGTGACAGTGCTACAGGACGAAGCCCTCTCACCTCTACTGCCCCTAGTAAAACTCACCTACGGTCAACCCTCGCTGCTGTACCTAGACGCCGGCTTCGATAGTGGTCCGCTTAGGAGCGAGCGTGGCGTCAGGCAAGGAGACCCCCTCGGACCATTCCTTTTCGCAGCCGGAATCCACCCCGCACTACGCATGACGGCAGCCGCATACCCAGGTGTACTCTGCTTAGCATACGCCGATGACGTCACGTTCCTAGGTGACGCGGACGAGGCAACGGCTGCATTTTCTCACTTCACCAGGCAGTTAGCGCTAGTAGGCTTGCAACACAACCCTGCGAAATGCGCAGCATGGAGTCCTACACGCAACGCCAGCGAGTTACAATTGCCACGTGGGGTACCCTTTAGCGACGACGGCGTTAGATTACTAGGCAGTTACCTCGGCACTACAGACGGCGCCGCTTCATTCCTGGACGAACAACTTCGCATAATGGCCAAGCCACTACCGATTCTGGAGCGCACAGACCCTCAGATAGCGTCGCTCTTACTCACACGCTGCATCTCACGTAGGGTGGCATACCTCACACGGACGACACCAATCAACCTCCTATCAAGCAACGTATGGACACAATGGGGCAGGGACTTGCTAGACACACTATTAGCTTCATGTGGCATCCGTTTACCCACGAGCGACGACGAACAGCATCGAGTTTGGGAGCAGTCGTCCCTACCGCCGTCACTAGGCGGAATAGGTCTGGCCGATCCCACAGTGGAAGGTATCTACGGTTTCCTAGCGAGTTTTACCCAGGCAGCGCTCTTACTCACCTCACTACCCCTCGAGCCCGACGGCATCCTGTCCGCCGCCAGAAACCATATGCTACTGGCACGGGAGAGCACCTCCCCCCTTCATGCATGGCTGACGGAATGCGAAGCTAAGATCCCTAGAGAAGCACTTGAGATACTGGAGAAGGAGAGGATGGAGCCGACAGGGGTGAAACTGCAGCACGCCATGGCGGTACAGGTGCAGGGGAGCAGGTATGCCAGACAAGTACTGGAGTCTCGACGCATGGGCCTAAACCCATTGTCTGGGCACACGCAGCGCCTGTTCTCTCTGACAGGTTATGGTGCCGGTGACTGGCTCCTCGCCATCCCCATTGCGACGAACAGGAGATTGGGCCCAGAACACTTCTCCAACGCCCTCCGTTTCAGGCTAGGACTGCCCTTTTCCACGCCGGCTAAGTGCGACTATTCCAAACACACCGCCATCACAGACCCCAGGCTACCAAACCACCTCTTCCGCTGCGGGACAGGCAAGCATCGAATAAACACGCACAACGAGCTGCGCGACGCCTGCATCAGCATGGCGGAAGACGCAGGATTTATTGTACACGGGGAATCAGCAGCCTACTGCCCCATTGAGGAGCAGACGGCAGATCTCACGATCCGGGACAGAAGCTCAGGGGCGGTCTATATCTGCGACGTTACAATCACAGATCCCATCAGCACAAGGGACCCTGAGGCGGTAAAAGGGCGCGGATGGGCGGCGAGAGAACAGGCAGACAAGAAAACCAAGCATTACGAGGCAAGGCCGGACTCGGTGGGCTTCTTCCCTCTGGCGGTTGACACCTATGGCTGCCCCTGTGCAGAGGTCCCAACCTTTCTGAAGCTGTTAGCAGACACGGCGGCTCGGCGACACTTCAACGCCGACCCTCACTCCTTCCAGGCCGCAAAGTTTCTGCATCAGTTCCGGCAAAGGTGGTCCGTAGCACTCCAGAGGGCCCAGTCGGTGGGGTACCTCATGAAGTCAAGCCTGGCCGCAGTGGCAGAAAACCCGCCTGTGGGGGGTGCCCACACGGAACTGTCCCTTGGGGACTGCTTCGCCGTGCTAGAGCCCCTCATAGAGTTCGGTTAGGGGGTGTCCGGGAGTGAAGGGGGGAGCATAGGTAGGCGGGTAGTGTGGAGTTTGTGTGTTTGTTTGTTTGCTGTTGTTTTGTTTGCTTATTTTAGCTAGACATATCACATGCATGCATGTACCTTTCTTGCTCTATTAATACACGGACCATTAGAGAGAGAGAGAGAGAGAGAGAGAGAGAGAGAGAGAGAGAGAGAGAGAGAGAGAGAGAGAGAGAGGGTGAACGTCGCTGGGGATGCAACGGTGGCGGAAACCAATGGCGAGGAGGCGGGTGAGTGGGCAGGGGCTGCGGGGGTGGCGGCTGAGGCGGCAGTTGCGGCGGTGCCTGGCGCTGCTGCTGCTGACGGGACAGCCGCTGCCTCTGACGGCGGCTCAGTTTCACCCTCTGCCACCCCCCTGGCTGCATCACGGCTGGCTGAGGAGCAGGGGCCGGTTGCGGAACCGGGACAGCAGGAGGAAGAGGGGGCGGGACTGGCGGCGTCCCCGGCGCCGGTGGCTGCTGCGGTGATCACTGCGGTTGTGACGGCGGCGGTGGGAACGCAGGATGGTGGAACGAGCGCGGAGGGAGTGGGGGCTGCCGCTGAGTTCGCCGGAATGCCTGTTGCTGACGAGGGCGCAGGAACGAAGGAGCGCGACCAGGTGGCGGACGGAAGACAGGGCCGCGGGAAGAGCGCCGCTGCTCCCGCCGCCTGCGGGAAGAAGGGGAAGCGGCCCCGCGCCCAGCCAGCAGCGAGGCGGCCTGGAGCAGGGCTGAGGCCTGGTCCCCCGGGACCCCTCCTGGGCTGGCTGCGACAAGGGCTGCCGCCACGAGAGCCAACGCGTCCGTCTCCATCTTCCGCTCTGCCGGTGATTGACGCCGAGGTGGACGAAGCTGAAGGACCCGTGGTGCCACAGGAAGAGGTGACAGGAGCGACGGGAGCGGCAAACACGGCGGCACCAGCACCACAAAACACGCGGCGTTCACCACATCTAGGCGCGGTGACTTGGGGACCACCGCGAGGTGGCCGAACGCCGTGGATGCCGGCCGGGCGCGGAGGAACTGTGGGTTGTACGAGACCACCGACGGGCAGAGGGAGAGGAGAGCGGGGGGGCGCAGGACGCGGCGGGCGTGGAGGACGCGGAGCCCGCGGGGGACAGACGATCGTAGGCGGGGCCGATCTTGCAGTCCGGGCAGGGCCTTGGCGGGAGAGGCACGATAGGCCAGAACCTGAACCGGAACCTGCTCCAGCGAATGAGGAAGCAGCTGACTCTGACAACTCCGGGAATGACCCTGGGTTTATGGGCGGGGAGGAGGAGGAGGAATCAGAGGAAGTCTCACTGGAGGATGAGGAGGGAGAGGGCAGGAACACAACCCACAGGCGACGGCGGGCCTCGGGTGGTAACCCACCAAATCCCCCTCACAATGAAGGAGCGACTGCCACCGAGGTGACGAATGGTCCCCTGCCTGCCACTGAGGCACCGAATGTGCCCTTGCCCGCCACAGAGGTGACAGATGTACCCTCACCGGCCGACCTGGCAGACGACGAAGACATCTGGCGGACAGCGGGGGACTGGGATGTGTCCCAGATGCAGCGTGGAGACCAGCCATTTTTGGTCCGCCGTGTACCCCCGCAAATCCTGGATAGCTATTGCCTTTGCCTGCTGGCACCCCTCCTCCGTCTGAAGAAGTTTCCCGACTGTGCGGGCGCATGGAAGGTTCTCCAATTCCTGCCGAGATTGACCTTACGACCACCTCCCGAACCGGTTTCTGGAAGCAGATGGGCTCGGATCGAGGCTCGGCTGCATCAATTCAAACTTGGCAAATTCGAGGAACTTTTCGAGGAAGCAAGCACCATCCCCGAAACAGATACCTCGATAAGACACCAACCGGATGACGAGGGCCTCTGTGCTAGGGCTGAAGGCCTTATGAAAAAAGGCAACATCTCCAAGGCGGTAACAGCGTTACTCACCAGTCCCCTGGCAGAACCAACCACCGCCACGCTCGAGGCACTACTTGCGAAACACCCCCCTGCTACGAGCGACATTCCTTCGTGGGTAACGAGCACCACCTCGTCAGTGCTGTCAGCCCCGCTTGACTCAGTTCGCGAAATCCTAGCGAGGTGCCCGAATGGGGTAGGCGGAGGGCCTTCAGGAACCTGCTTCGAACACATTAGAGATCCCGCGCTGGCCAACGAGGAGATCCTAACTCTGCTCACCCAGCTACTAAACCGCCTCCTTAGCAGCGTCCTGCCACAACCGATCCGTGACCTGCTCCTCCCATCGCGCCTCATCACCCTGGAGAAGCCAAACGGAGGGGTACGGCCGATAGCGATTGGAGAGGCCATGCTCCGTGTGGCGTCGAAAGCAGCATTACACGCGCTCGGCCCCAAAATCCGAGAGTTTTTCCTACCCGTACAGTTTGGGGTAGCGGTACAGGGGGGCGCGGAGTGTATCATACACTCGGGGCGGGCTCTACTTCAGGACGACAGCAACCGCATCGCTCTGCAGCTATATATAGAAAACGCCTTCAATAGCGTTGAATGGGTGGCGTTCTTCGGTGCGCTTCAGTGGTCTAACCTTAGCCCCCTACTCCCTTTGGTCCGCAATCTCTACGACTGACCATCGCGGCTCCTGGTAGATCCACGCCTGGGCACAGACTACATCCAGAGCTCACGTGGGGTACGCCAAGGGGACCCACTCGGGCCTCTATTATTTGCAGCCGCCATCCAGCTGGCACTACTGAGTGTAGCGGCAACGATTCCTGAGGTGGCGGTCGTCGCCTATGCCGACGACATCACGATTGTTGGTCCACAGGAGGCGGCCTGCCTCGCCTTTAACACGATTGCCGCGACGCTCGCGACGTACGGTCTACGCTGCAATATTGACAAGTCGTCGGCATGGGGGGGGGACTCGGGGCCGCAACCTGGGGAACTACCACACGGTTTGATGGCGGACCCGGGGGGGATTCGAGTGCTTGGCAGTCCGGTTGGGGACGCCGCCTTCTGCACTGAGCACGTCAGGTCCGCCCTCGGAAAATCAGCCACGCCACTCCCCCTCATCTCGCAGCTGCACCCGCAACACGCACTCCTCATGATTTCCCGCAGCATCTCCAGGCGGATCTCATACATGCTGCGGACGACGCCGGCTACAACACTGAGCCGCCGGGAATGGAGGGAGTGGAGCGAGGCCCTGGTGGGGTCGGCCTTGACAGCGGCAAAGCTACGGATCCCAACCTCGGAGCTAGAGCAGAGTCTCCTATGGCGCCAAGCTACACTTCCAGTGCGGCTAGGCGGCCTAGGAGTCATTGACCCCACCTCCGAGGCGCCTGCGGCCTACCTCGCCTCTGTCACGGCAGCCCACACACTCCTGAGGCAGCTGAAACTGCCGCCGGATGGTCTGCTGAGCAGAGCAACAGTGCTAGTCTCCCACGAGTGGGCCCCCGATCCACCTGCAGTCAACCCCAGGACCACCATAGAAGCTGGCCTCCCAGCAGAGGCACGGGGGGTACTGGAACAGTACAGGACCGGGGCACAGGGCACAGGGAACTTACAGCTGGGGCAATCAAAAACCATAAACCAGCGGCGGGCAGCCGAACTTCTTGCTGACACCCTCCAGGACAAGCCGGGAGAGGACAGGGGGCACGTCATCCGTCTCACCAGCCTGAAAGGGGTAGGGGCAGGCGACTGGTTACATGCCATCCCAACGAGAGGCGACCTTACTTTCTCCCCTGGTCAATTCTCGTTGGCTCTAGGACTCCGCCTTGGCATGGAGCTGCCGGTCACTGAGGTCTGCCCTTGCAAGCGGGGTAACTCCAAAATTGATGACAAGAGCCTCCCCAACCACCTCCTGCGGTGCGGAGATGGAGGGGACGCGGTCCGTACCCACGACAACCTGGTTTACGCGGCACTGCGGATGGCTAATGACGCGGGGTACAAGACTTTTCATGAGACGTCGGTGGAGCCTGGGGGTGCTGAGCCTGGAGGTACTTTGTCTGCTGGAGGTCCTACGGGTGCCTCGTCACGGCGGGAGCCTCTCTCTCCACCGCAGCTGCGCGAGTGGTTTGCTCGGCGCACCCACCTTCGGAGTGGCGCTGCTGGAGCTGGGGGGCCTGCCACTGGAGGCCCTGGAGCTGGAGGCACTGGAGCTGCTGGTCCTGGAGGTGCTGGAGCTGCTGGTCCCGGAGGTGCTCGTACTGGAGGTACTGGAGCTGCTGGAGCCGGTGGTACTGCGGGCGCTGGAGCTAGAGACCCTGGAGCTGGAGGCGCTGGAGCTGGAGGTACCGGAGTTGCTGGAGCTGCTGGTCCTGGAGGTGCTGGAGGTGCTGGAGCTGCTGGAGCTGGTGGTGCTGCAGGCGTTGGAGCTGGAGACCCTGTAGCTGGAGACCCTGGAGCTGGAGGTACTGGTTCTGGAGGAACTGTGCGGCCGCGACTGTACTTCGTTCCACTGCTTCACCAGGTTCTTGGTCTCCCGCCATCAACTGGCCTTACTCCTCCCTTACTGTGTCCACCGCCTGACCAGTCGCAGCCGCAGTTACAGCCAGACTCCCCACTGCCTGCTCCTTCTCCTTACACTGAGCCGACAGACTCTCTTCGTGAGCCTGAGTCTCGTCCCGCCTCGCCTGTTCACGCTGTTCGCACTGGTCGCCGTGTTCCTCGTCAGCGTCCTCCTCCTGTCCCCGGCACGCACCCTATGGCACTTCGTCCTTCCTCTGTTCCACAGCGTGTCCCTCTGCCGTCTCCTCATGCGTCCTGTCTTCCTGACGTTCCTGACCCTGAGTCCGACCTTGCTCGTGCTGCCAGTCCTACTGTCACACGTCTTCTAGCCACTGTTGTCACTGACCCTTCGTTTGAGTCCACTGCTGCATCTTCCCTAGTTGCTGAGCTTGTTGACTTTGCTGCTGCGTGTCGTCTCGACTACGCCGCTAGTCTTGTTGCTATGTCGGCGTCTGACTGTCCTCCGTCCGTCGGGGGTGAGTGTGCTATTGGCACGAGCGTCCTTGAGGACAGGCAGGAGGACTTTGAGTGTTTTGCAGCTGCTGTACCTCATCTCGTGTCCATGCTGATTGCACCTGAGGGAGACCCGGATGCACCAGACATCCCGACCCCGTGCTCTTACGCAGAGGCGATTATGGGTCCCTACTCCTCTCAGTGGCAGACAGCCATGGACGCAGAGATGGCATCCTGGAAGTCCACAGGCACTTACGTCGACGCAGTTCCCCCTCCTGGGGCGAACATAGTCGATGTCATGTGGATTTTCAGGGTGAAGCGGCCGCCGGGTTCTCCGCCTGCCTTCAAGGCTCGTTACGTTGCACGAGGCTTCAGTCAGTGACAGGGAGTTGACTTCTTCCAGACCTTCTCCCCTACCCCGAAGATGACCACTCTTCGGGTGCTGCTGCACGTCGCCGCTCAGCGTGACTACGAGCTTCACTCTCTTGACTTCAGCACAGCTTTCTTACAGGGCAGCCTGCACGAGGAGATCTGGCTGCGCCGCCCACCTGGCTTCACTGGGTTGTTTCCTGCAGGTACCCAGTGGAGCCTCCGGCGGCCAGTCTACAGTCTCCGCCAGGCGCCTCGCGAGTGGCATGACACACTGAGGACGACGCTTGCGGCTCTTGGGTTTGCTCCTTCGACTGCTGACCCGTCGCTGTTTCTGCGCACCGACACTTCGCTGCCGCCGTTCTACATCCTCGTGTACGTCGACGACTTGGTTTTTGCCACTGCTGACACTGAAGGACTGGCCCTTGTGAAGTCGGAGCTGCAGAAGAGACACACGTGCACTGACCTGGGTGAGCTGCGCAGCTATCTTGGCTTGCAGATCACCCAACAGAGCACAGCGCACCATAACCCTGACTCAGTCATGCATGGTGCACCAGGTCCTTCAGTGCTTCCGCTTCCAGTACTCCTCGCCACAGTCCACTCCTCTGCCTACCGGTCACTCGCACTCAGCTCCACCTTCGGACGAGTCCGTAGAGTCGAGTGGCCCGTATCCAGATCTTGTGGGCTGCCTCATGTACCTGATGACCTGCACTCGACCTGACCTTGCCTACCCTCTTAGCATCCTGGCACGCTACGTAGCGCCCGGGAGACACCGACCAGAGCACTGGGAGGCTGCTAAGAGGGTGTTGCGCTACTTGTGCAGTACATCGGGCATGGGGCTCGTGCTCGGAGGACGGGGTCCAGTTGTCCTCACTGGACACGCAGACGCGTTTTGGGTTGACGACTTGGCTACGCAGCGGTCGTCACAGGGTTACACCTCCAGCCTTGGCTCCGGCTCTGTTTCTTGGTGGTCTACCCGCTCGTCTTCTGTTCTCAGTTCCAGTTGTGGGGCTGAGATCTACGCAGGGGCCATGGCTGCACAGGAGTTACGCTGGCTCATCTACTTGCTGACCGACTTGGGAGAGCCACCTCGTTCTTCTCCAGTTCTGTACGTTGACAACAAGGCCATGATTGCCTTGTGTCAGGAGCACATACTGGAGCACAGAACGAAGCACATCGCTCTGCGTTACTTCCTTGCTCGAGAGTTGCAGCAGCATGGTCAGCTTCGTCTTGCTTACGTGGCCACTCGGGCCAACACTGCTGATATATTCACCAAGGCACTTCAGCCTTGTGA